CAGACCAGTTTTTTTACCAACTTCTTCTCTCCGAAGGCAGGGTCAGTTGAAAATTGCTTCCTTCATGAACTTCGACCTTCTAGACGAGAATATCAAAATCCCTCTATAAGAAACAGTTTGGCGCCCAGGGCTCAGGCTCCTGCGCCATTGCACCATAGGTACCAAATTCGCTGAAAACTTGTCTCTAGGGTCAGTCCGAATCACTGAACATGAAAACCACTTGCGCTTGACTCGAAATCGCTTGGCGCCTGTGTTAAAGACGACGGCACTACATGCCTGTTTTGATCCCAGCTCGTGTAGCGCGGGTGTTTTCATGCCAAGCGGATTGCTAGGGCAGTTAAGGGAACACAGGTGAGACAAGGCAATTCTTTCTGACAGCCTGCAACAGTGGCCCTTCTCTCGGATAAGGTTCAGGCTCAGCTGACGAAGGGGTCACTATCTGGGGGAAGGGATAGGCTAGCAGAAGCTGGCTGCGCTGTCACGTGTCCCCTTCCTCCATCCTTGACCCCGTTAGCTGTAGATATTCTGTTTGGGAGGTCAAAGTACCTCTGATAAATACCTCTCACAAATACAAATTTTCGGCGAATTTGGTGGTTCATAGCATTTGGTGGCGGCGCCTGTTAAGCGGGCGCCGTGAGGTTGGGGCTGTCTGGGAGATTGATATACGTGTTCAAGAGGTCGACAACCCCCAGCGAAAGAATTTTCAGCCAGTTCTGCGCTCGTGCGAAAAAGTAGGCAGAAAACTGGTCTGATTTCGCAAGACGGGTAGTACTAGCGGGGTACTGCATTGCATGTGTAAAGTGGTGGTGCTATTACGACACCCTCCCCTTTTCGAGGAAAGGTCTTGGTACGATACCCCCCCCCACCCGAGGGAGGATCCCGGTACGCCCCCTCCCCTTCCCCGGAAGCTACCTACCGATTTCCCCACATTTTCCAGTTTTTCACTCAGAGATTCCCACGTCGAGCGGGGGGGGGTATAAAGCCAATGTGGAATGTGAAAATTTCTCAATTTTCCCTAACTCCTCCCACTTTTTCCGGCGCTTCTCGAAAATTTCGAGAAGAAATTTTGCTGTCGAGCGGGGTGGCGGGGTGGAGGGGGGGGAGTGAATAATATACATGAAACAGGGGAAATCACGCGAAAAGTCAAGACCGAGAAATTTTTTCCCAATGCGACAAATTTCTCTCATGAGCACATACGACTCCCCCTCTCCCAAAACGACCAAATGCGACCCCTCTCCCTCCCCAGCCAAGAAGTACGACCCCCTCCCCCCCCCACCTATATGTTCCACATAGCGATGTTGTACCCTGAGTACTAGTTGAATAGTGCCGATGTCCATTACGGCAGCTATGGTTTGAAGATATTTTAGAAAAGAACGATGAAGAAAGCCTTCAGGATATCTCTTTCGCCCATACCTCAGCATTCTTGTGGTAAATGTAAAATGTTCTCAAGGAATATTCTAGAAATTCCTTTCTATCAATCTTCTTCACCCTCTGGTCATCGTCCTGCTACGCCTGTTTAAGACTCATTCGTACGTGATTCATAAGACCTTTAGCAGGTATTTCTGCGCTGTTGCATGAACTCCTATCGGCGCCAGCCATTCCTGTTTCAGCCGGCGATTCTATTTGAGTTTTGATGCGTCTTTAGTGGTGATGATGGTGTTTCCTGGTGTACAGTGATGTGATAATCATACGCACTTCGACTGTTAATGTACCAATTCGTTCAATGAAAGATGTTGTACCAATTGTTCAATGAAAGATAGCTCTCCTTTCCTCAATCATCACTCGTTCTTTCTTATATACTCGAAATCCCTGAGATCGGGTAGGCGTGGCCGCATGTTTCAACTTAACCTGGAGGTGTTTATGCTTCTGGTGGAATATTTTCATCTTGTCACAATTGTTGTCGTCACCATCCAATTTTTCAAAAATCAGTAACTTCCACAATAAAATGCGGTATCAATTCGAATTCCCATCTTATTATATCTCTGTTAGATCTCGCGAAGTTTGTCGTTCCGACTTCTTTCCTGGTCGTTGATTTCTTGAACGAGTGATCATTTCAGTGGCAATGAATCGGCTGCTACTGGCACTGCTACCGCTGGTAACGTTGGCTTTTGCACAAAAGGAATGTTTCTTAGGTATTTTTTTCTGAAATTTCAAATGATTAAAAATAGATCAGTTTTTCTGTCCTATTTAAAGATAAGTCTGGACTAACATGGTGGACCGGGCATTCGGTACTCTTCAGTGTAGTAGAGGCTCTCCCATGAGGAAGACATGTTGGTCTCGAGCCTCCCTCCATCCCACCGCCCATTTGATTATAGCGGAATACTTCTCTTAAAAAATTCCATAAAAATTCATTTTTTATTTGCAGTTAAAGATTCGGGTTTCGTTTGCGATGCAGAAGCTGGTCAGCGATTCTACTTTGATATGCACACGAAGCGATGCCAGCCATTCTACTACAAGGTTTGCTCTAACTCATATTGCCATAAAGTAACGGGTGAATTACTGCGCAGGACAGCTGCTATATTCTGTTTCGTTTGGCTGCGCGGAAGCGACGTCGCAAATGGCTTCACATCATCAGAACTTCATGCCATATCCCGGCGATGGGGAGGGCGTGGCTACGAACCCTATTCGAATCGCGTAGGGCGATTTGCTCGTTGAACATGTTTGCTTGATACCGTAGTCTTCCTGTGTCTTGGGCTGGACA